CATCCTAGGGGCTCCCATTACTGTGTGCACTGTTGTGTTCTAGACCAGTTGTAAGCTTCTGGGTGGCCCAGTGCAGTAATCCAAACAGGAGGTGATCAAGGCGTGATTGCCCCATGTGCAAGACTCCCTCTTGCCAAGCATCTGACTTTTGATTACGTGACCATGGGCATACTGCAGTGGTCTTTAAGTGAAAAATGGTCGTGCCACTTTTTTCAATGCCTTTGGTCACATGGTCACTAAATGAAGTGTTGCAAATTGAGGACTACCTGTAGATAATTGGGTATCATAGGATGGATGGCCTCCCCTACCAGTTTCATGTGGATTTAAACCACATCGTTTAGTGAGGGCAATCCTGGCGTTTCCAGTCACTGTTGCAACTCCATGATCCCGTGGGTCATTAAGTGAGGACCTGATGTGATTGTGATGTGAGAAGAGGTAGGAGTTCCAGGCCAGCAGGCCAGCAGGTGAGAGTTATGGGCAAGTGGGTGATCTCCAGGCCTCCTCCTTTGTGGGGCTGGGAGAGAAATGGAGAGCCAGCTACTAAAGCACAGGAATCTTTAAATCAGCTTTCTGCAAACAAGCTCCCTCCAAATGTTTTGCCCAAACTGCCTGGGAATATTCAATGCCGGAATCAAACTCCTCTGGAAATTGGGAAGGATGCTCAGAGGAATTCCATCCTCTAGTGCAGTGGTTCTCAACCTTTTTAATGCCGCGACCCCAACCGGTCGTAAGTCGAGGACTAAACCGGTCGTAAGTCGAGGACTACCCAACTGGTCATAAGTTGAGGACTTTCCCTGCCTGGGAGTGCCGCGTATGCGTGGTTCTGTCCCCTGCGCCGGCCGAGGCGTAGCTGGCAAGCGGCAGAGACGGAGCAGGCCGACCACCAGCTGGCCCAGCCCAAGGGAGGTAAGGCACCCGCTGGAAAAGGGGGGAAAATGGCAGACAGCCTTGCTTGGCGACCCCCGTGAAATGGTCGATCGACCCCAAATGGGGTCCCGACCCACAGGTTGAGAACCACTGCTCTAGTGAGATTTAGGCCCTGCAAGAATGCAGATGGAAAAATAATATCTCTTCTCTAGATGTGTTTGGAAGCAATATGGGTGGGTGCTTCAAGGTTTTGTCCCGTATTTCATTTTTCTATGAATGGGATGAAGCTGGCAAGTGTTTAAGGCTGCACTTACAGACCTTTATCAACTTTTATGATGCAGCACCTGGCTGAACTTGTGAAACTAAGTAGGGTCAGGCTTCACTCTTCCAGCTTCCTTCAGTCACAAAGGTAGTTTTGGGGCATTATCCTGCAGCCCTAATATGAACAACTAACTGGAATAGTCTCCACTGATCCCTACGGGAGGTGCGTTTTGTTGTAGCCTGATGATACATTGTGTTCCTCCCATGGATGCTTTCCTTTGGTTTAGTTCTTGCAAAGGAAGCTCCTGGCTCAGTTCCAGTGACGATGAAGGTGTTTTTGCGAGACCTGAAAGGACAGACTAGGATTAGATGGTCCTGGAGAAAAGTTATGGATGTGGTCGCTAAGAGAGGAAAACGGCATTTTAATTAAAAAAAAAACCTTAGAAACTCCAGAGACAAAATGAGCATATTTTCAGCCTAATGTCACAAAGTAGAGTTCTAAAACAACACCAGTGCCTGGAAAACCGTCAGTCTAATAATGGCATCAGCGGTGGCTGAGATCCGACATCCAACCGGAGGGAGAGCAGGCGAGGTGAAAGGAGTTAAAACCAGCGAGTATTGCTAGAAAGGATGTTGAGGAGAGGGGCAGAGGAATTTGCTCTTCCGGCTCACCAGTATGAGGATGGAGGCATAGAGGCCTGTTCTCATGCTCTTCCCAGACCCGAAGCAGCAGCTGGAAAGTGAATTGAGGGCAGGTCAGAGAAGAAGCCGGGAGCAAGTAGGGCTGCCTGGTTTCTTCCATGGTGTAAAAGAAGAGAAGCAACTCGGCTGCTACATATTCCTTCCTACCCCAGATTTTGTTCAACTGGTGCTGTAGGCTCTAAAATTGGTGCCTGTAATTTTCCGCTGGTTGGAAGATTTAAAAAATCTCCTTCAGATTAAGATTGATTCCTTCGGATTTTATGGACGTGTTGTTTTCTTGGCAACAATATGGGACTGATCTGCCACTGGTCTCTTCTGGGATTTTGATTTCTTTTACTATCATGTTTAGCTAACAAGAACAGTATTTCCTATTGGAGCCCCATCAGCATAGTAACCAGGTTTAACTGTGCTTAAGCAAGCACTTTTTAAAAAAAATATAACTATTGAGGATGGTAGAAATTGTTTTATTATATAGCACTGGTAGCAGAGGGTTATTATATAACCATACAGATTGGTAGCAGAGGATGGTTACATGGCCATACAGATAAAAGAAAATGAAAGTGTATAGTCACCATGGGCCTTGCTGCTTAAGGTTTCAACTGTCACAGGAAACTCAGAACAAACAGAACCATAGATTACAAGTATAGATGCAAACTAAACACTGCCATCTACTGGCTGAATAATTTGGTACTTTTTGCAATACAAAATACATTCTAACATGTATTCCAACAGAGGACCTTTGGGATGTTCAGTTGTATAGGAAGTCATCGGTTACCATTTGTTCACTAGGCCTTCATAATTATTACAGCAGACATATACCTGGTTCACAAATTTGTGGCCATCGTGTCACTTCTCCAGTGACTGCACTTCAGCACTTAATAATAATAACAATAAAGTTGGAAGGGACCTTGGAGGTCATCGAGTCCAACCCCCTGCTCAGGCAGAAAACCCTACACCATTTTGGACAAATGGCTGTCCAATCTCTTCTTAAAAACTTCCAGTGTTGGAGCATTCACTGCTTCTGGAGGCAGGTTGTTCCATTGGTTAATTGTTCTAACTGTCAAGAAGTTTCTCCTTAGTTCTAGGTTGCTTCTATCCTTGATTAGTTTCCATCTGTTGCTTCTTGTCCTGCCCTCTGGAGCTTTGGAGAATAGCTTGACTCCTTCTTTTTTGTGGCAACCCGTGAGATATTGGAACACTGCTATCATGTCCCCCCTCATCCTTCTCTTCATTAAACTAGACATACCCAATTCCAGCAACCGTTCCTTATATGATTTAGCCTCCAGTCCCCTAATCATCTGTGTTGCTCTTCTCTTACTCTTTCTAGAGTCTCAGTATCTTTTTTACATTGTGGTGACCAAAACTGGATGCAGTATTCCAAGTGTGGCCTTACCAAGGCATTGTAAAGTGGTATTAATACTCACGTGATCTTGATTCTATCCCTCTGTTAATGCAGCCTAGCACTGTGTTGGCTTTTTTGGCAGCTGCAGCACACTGCTGGCTCATATTTAAGTGATTGTCCACTAGGACTCCGAGATCCTTCCCACAGTTACTACTGTAGGTGCAGGAAAAGGAGTTCCACTAATTTGGGTGCTGCCAATCAGTGCACAATTATGATCCCATTTGTGACTTTTCCAGCTAGCTTCTGACAAAGGGACGCAAGTCACAGTCATGTGAAATTGTCTTTAACAACTGACAGTGATTAGCTTAATGGCAGAGGAGCAGATGTAAGTTGGCAGTCATGTGACAATGCTTAATGATTCGAGCTGCTTAGTGACACATTGCAGTCCCAAATATGGTTAGTAAGTGAAGACTACTTGAATGGAGATGTCATCAGAAGGCTTTTGGGCAGTATTTTATTGGGACCTGAGAGCTTCCATGGGCAAAACTGGTGCTTCAAATCTTGTAAAGGCTTTAGGCATCATTTCATCAGTTAAAGCCCCCGCATCTCTAAAATTACCTCAGACGGATTGACAGTAACAATTTTGCGACATATTTCAGGCTAAAATAAACATGGAATTTCTACTTATGTACATTTGTAGGCATGTATATTTCTCTCTGTGCATATATCTGCATCTACTGTATATCATCTTATCCCCAGAACCCCTCAGGATATACAGGGCATAGAGAACGTCTCCACGCTCCTTGTAAAATGCCAGGTTTGGGGGATGAAAGTAAATCAGACCAAGACAAATCACCTCAGAATGTTTCCACCTTTAATATAACTTAAAAGCTGTATAATTCAATTGAAAAACAAATATTTTATGAGAAAAATCACAATAATAAGCTTACAATTACATGGTTTAATGAAGATGTGCACCTTTAAATTAATTCTTTCCTGAAGCTCTTTTTGAATTTATCACAGCATGCAGGTTAATAATAATAACAACAACAACAACAACAACAATAAAGTTGGAAGGGACCTTGGAGGTCATCTAGTCCAACCCCCTGCTCAGGCAGGAAACTCTATACCATTTCAAGCAAATGGCTGTCCAGTCTCTTCTTAAAAACCTCCAGTGTTGGAGCATTCACAGCTTCTGGAGACAGGTTGTTCCACTGATTAATTGTTCTAATTGTCAGGAAGTTTCTCCTTAGTTCTAGGTTGCATC